AAAACTGGGTCAGTCCCGGGGCTGGGGCAGTTAGCCATTTTACCTTCATTGTAGCAAGAGCACCAGCAGAAGGGAGGATTACCATTCTCTTCTATGTCCCTGAGTTGCTCTCAGCGGACATCCCAGAGTATGAATAGGTTTACATTCTAAGGCTGAGAAGCACCAGTTATTGAAACTGTGCTTGGACCAACCACTGCGTTGGTGGACCTGCTTGGCCAGAGGAAAGTTGAGAACTGAATAAATTATCCTGAAAGGACCCTCTTTTCTCTTTTTACCAAAGAATAAAATAAGTTTCTTCATGTGTATCTATACGAAAGGTGTGTTCAAATATTTTCTGTTTTGACTTCAGAGCGTTCCCATAGCCCCTTGTGTGTGTTAACTGCAGATTCTTCACAACAGACGAAAAAAATGTTTCATACTGGGCCTGGACTCTACCACTCCATCCTGATATTCTGAGCCTAGATTTCTATTATTTGCTGCCAGTATTTGCATAGCAAGAGTTTTATGGGTAATAACTCAGTCCCTTCATGAAGAATCACAAGCAGATTTTATACCCTTCTTACTCAATGCCGAAAGAATTGACAGGGTGTCATACTTTATTGCTAAACAAATTCATCTCTCACTAAAGGGTCAGACACGGACTCTTTCTTTCATAAGCAGGCTTCTTCTTGGAATGAAAAACATGGTGCATCTTGGGAGAGTTCTTGGGAAAGTTCATCTCCTTGGGTGCTTTGGGGAAAAATGTTTTGACCCATACATAGAGTTCACCCCAGGGACTTAAAGGCTAGATGCTTACAAGTGCATGGCCATCTATGCTTACAACTTGGTTTCAGGTTTTACAATAATAGTTTTCTAAACTATTCTTCTGTATATTCTATATAATCTTCACTGTATGCTTTCAAGAGGTGATGCACGGGAAAGTGGTGTTTAAATGGTAAGGGGCTGAAAGCAATTTGAGAGACAGTGCTGGGAAATCGTTTATGAAGCTAAATGTGGCATCTGGGGTGGATTTAGACCTCTCCTAGCCTTTTTTATGTCACCCATCAGTCACCCTCTCACTGCACCGTGATCTGTTTCTGTGGAGTGTGTATCATGGATTGTAAGCGTATACTTATTTGTGTATTTGTCTGTTTAATGTTCAGTCCTCACTTAGCCCCTGATCCTGTCCCATGTGCCTTACAAGGTCGGTTATCCTTCACTAGTTTACTGGTTCCTTAGTTTCTTCCTGTTTGTGGGAACATATACTAGGCCCCTCAGAAATGGAAGATTATTGTGTGAGTATGTTGGGGGCTGTTGGTTTGGGCATGGTGTTAACTCCTTTCATACAGGAGTTAGATATAAAATAAATTAAGGCACTTCTGGAGCTGGTGGAGATTCTGGATGACATCTTCTTTAACCTCCCTTCCCCTATTACTTGATAGACATATAACCTTCTTGTCTTTTACCTTTTCTTATCTTTCCCTTAACTTTTGCCCTACTTCCCCTCCCCTATCCTCACTGAGTAGGGCGGGTAGAGAGGCATTGCCAGCCCAGCAGTAGAAAAGAGGCTGGGCCCTTTGCCCTGAAGATCAGTCTCAGTTCAGTGTTTCGCCCAACCCGTGGGGTCTATATCCCCTTTCAGTGGCTCTGTCTCTAACTAATTCTACTGCCCAAATATACCACCCCTTCTTCAATGTGCATCTCAAACGTTACCTTTTCCTTGCATCCTTCAGCTTAGAAGCCACAGCCGTCTATGGCACTTCATTGCTGCTGGTCAGATTCTAACTTGCCCTGTCACCATTTGTGGGCACAGCTCCTGCTCCTGATTTGTAATATCCTTCGGCCTGGGACCTTGTCTTTACTTCTTTGCTGGGCACACGTCCTGTCTTTCGTAAATGTTTGCTGATTGTCTCCACTGTACTGTAAATGTTTCCATTTCCTTGCACACACTCCAAGACAGTTTGGTCTTCCGTGGACTCTTCTCACTCATTTTTGCAGCCATGTATCGTTTCATCTTGTACTACTTCTTGAGAATAATGAGTCCCATAATCATAGAATCTATCATGAAAATTTGTTTATTCCATCTGTGTTTGCTGATGTCCAGCCTGAGACAGTTGTCTCCTAACGAAAGAGTGTGTGCACTGGATGCACAGACTTACGATTCGTAGATCCTCGCATGTTCCCTTTCAGTCTGCCCCAAATTCTTAACAACTCAAGCAGTCACCTGCCCCACAGTTCCTTCAATCATTTCAATGACTCTTCTCCAGTTCTTCAGCTCCATGACTGTTTCATCTTGTAGGTGGAGCCTTAAGCTAGGAATGACATAGAAATGGAGTGGGAGGAAGTGACAGCACAGGAGAGAGGGAAGGTGAGTTGCATGTTCTCAAAGAGTGTGTTCAGTATTTGGGGATGCTGTATGTTTGAGGTGTAGTGCCTCTTCTCCTTTCTGGGTGTGGGGTGGTGGAAGCAATGTGAAAGCGGAACTCTGAGCACTTTGGAGAATAAGCCATACGTAGGTATCCACCAACATGTGTAGGCGGATCTGTACATATGATTTACTCCCTGTCTACATGTATGATGGCACCATTTTGTGTAACAGTAGATAAGGTCAGTAACCATAGTAGCTGTCACTCACAGAGCATGGATTTTGTACCAGGTAGGTACTGTGCACTCCTCTCACTTTGTTTCATTTAATGTTCCACAAGGACGCTACCAGCCTGGTATATGCTTCCCATTTTACATTTAAGGTTACCAAGCCTCAGAAAAGCTAATTATCCAGGCTGAATACTTAAGACAAACAGCAGGTAAAGCCAGAATTTGAACCCAGATCTGTTTAAATCCACAGCCTGTAATCTTTCTAATATACATAAAGAACTTTCCCCTCAGGAACTTAAGTGGTGAAGCTGCAATTTCAGGACTTTTCCAGATAGAAGATTTTGGAAGACCTATTTTTCCTGGAAAATCTTTCCTAAGCGGGCAGGAAGTCTGATGAGTTGTCAAGACTGACAAGAAAATTCACCCAGCCTGCTTAGTGGTAACTGTCCGGCCTTGCTTGAGGAATGTCTCACCTTCATATTCACCAAAAATAAGTTAGACTCTTTGATTGATACGCATTTACTCCTTCAGACCACTGGTGTGCCATTTAGACAATATGAAAAACTGACTATTATTATGAAAGCACTATGTGGATAAAAATATACTGGGTAATAGTGTAACATTGAGGATACAGTGAAGTTTAGCAGTGCTGATGTCCAACTGGGCCACACTAGGATGGCCGAGGTCCACTGTCACTGATGAGTGCCTCTGTTATGTTAGCTGTTAAACACTTTAACTATTACCCCTAAGGATTAGACATAATTCCTATCCTCAAGGAAATTACAACCCCATTGGAGAAGTGGGATCTAAACATATAAAAACTTCAAATAATGAGAGCAGAATTAGATAAAAATACAGACAATGCTCCGTCCACTTCAGTTTGTTTCATATTTCTTCCTGGCACGTATTCACCACTGAACAAATGTTACATTTATTTTTTTTCTTATCATCCACTGATACACCTTCAGCACCTCCAACATTGCTTGGTCCTGTTGAATAAATGAATATGATAGGATTTAAAGCAGAAAGTATGGCTTGGGTGGTGAAGAAGAGTGTCATGGGGGAGTTGAGATGGGAGCAGAATCCAGAAGGAAGAGGTAGTTCTGTAGAGAAGTGGTCCAGGCAGGGAGACCAATGTGGACAATAGCAGGGAGTTTAGATAATAGACTTAATGTCTAGGATTAGTGGGTAAACTACTTTGGCTGGAACAAAGAGGGCCCTGGAAGTGGGCAACTGACATCCAAAGGTATAATGCACAATCCGCAAGAACTCCTTGGAGCATTTAATTTGAGGACTGACTCTAAAGCACTGCAGAGGCGGAAACTTGTAATGGCCACAGTTGTAATGGTCAGTGTGGAAATTGCTTCCCTCCTCAACCCCTTGCATAAAGAAGCAGTGTGGATTAAAACACCATCACAGAAAACAACAAATGGAGGTTACAGATCTTTCTGAGCTGACGCTTAGGAAAGAAGGTCATCCATGAGAAATGTGTAAATGGGTAGTGCCGACTGGGATTTTCAGGAGCTTGCAAGAGTCTGATTTTTAGGGTGAGGTTCTGCTTTGTTTGGGTGTCCCCCTGTTGTAGCATGACTTCTCCATTTAAAATAGAACAACTTGAAATCAATTTAAAGACAGACACATGCACACATAATTGTGTTCCTTGCACATGAGTGTGTGCGCGCACACACATACACTCCCACACTCTCACACACACGTGCTCATGCTCCCAGGCACAGCTTCCTTCAGCCTAAATTCTATTTCCCCTCATCTGGCAGCTTTCAGAATAATCTCACCCACCTGTTAAATCAGAGAATGTCAAGTTTAATTTATAACAGTGAGTAGAAACAGGATGCTACAGAAAGCATTTTAATTAAAATCCTTTAATTGGATACATGCTTCTTGTGAAAAGGGAGCTGTGGAGAGGGCCTCTTTGTCGGCACCTTTCACTCCAGTTGCCAGAGATTGTTGCAGGAATGGCCTTGCAATTGGAACCAGCCCTCTGGGACGAGGGAGCGGGGCAGGATGGAGGCTGAGAGAGGGAAATTGGGAGCAATAGAGGAAGGACAAAGAGGGCGAATGGCCACAGATTTTGTGCAGAAACACAGCCTTGGTGTTTTCCGGAGGCAGTTCTGCCGAAACCTATTGGTATCCTTTCAAGTTGGTTTCTCCTTAATCCTTTCATCATCCTTAGGATGGGATGATCTCTAGGGGCAATCCACCAAATGCCCTGACTTCAGACACTGGCTTAGGGAATCTTGACAGTGTAGGTCAAATGGTGAGTGTGGGAGGTGGACAGATGACAGTGTGGGGTTGGGGGAGGCCCAGCCTTTGCACCTGGGGTTCCTTAAGTGACAGCACTTAGCACTCTCCAGCCCACACTGCAGGAAAGAAAATGTTGGACTCAATTAGAGGCCAGTTTAAGGAAGGGACTGTGTGCTGAAGTGGGGGGCCCAGCCTGGAAACAATCCCAAGAGCTCATGTGGGGTGACAGCAGTGGAGCGTGCCAAGAGAGCAGACAGGCTGGAAGTATTTTACTGGAAACACTCGAAGTAGCTGAGAGAAGTGGGAACTGGAAGTAGTTTTAGTGTCAGGTAGGTTGCCAAGGAGACAGAAGACCCTGGGCTGAGCTCATTAAAGACGGGTAGTATGAATGAGTTTTTACCTTCTTGGTTTTGCTTCAGCTTGCTGTGCCAGAAGGTGATTCAAAGGGTCTGAATGACACTGATTCTTTCCTGGGAGCTAAGAAACCTGGTACTATGATCTCTTGGTAGAGAGAAGAGATACATCTTGATTTTTAGATGTTATTCATTTATTGCTCCTATTGGGGTCCTAGAGGCCCTGGCTGCCAAGGAAACAATGGTAGATGGCGTTATTTGTTTACAGCTCTTGGTTTCTTCTAGTGGTGTGCTGGTAAGTGTTTACCAACTGGCTTTTAGGGTAGAGAGAAGTCTGATTTGTAGCATTTTCCAACTTCTATGGTATAAATATTTCCATCATGGTCGATTTCAAAATACTGATGATTTAACAACCAGTTGGCCAAATTCCTGAAATTAAATTATTGGCTGTTGCAAGCCAGTATAAGCTGGCTCCAACACACCCCTGGCTCTTTCCTGTCCTTGTTAAGCTTTCCTGTGGAAGGTGTTTATTTCTCTCTCCCTTTGACTTTAGGTTGGGCCATATGACTTGCGTTGGCCAATGGAATAGAAGCCAATGGCTCAAGACACATCCAAGCAAAGATTTAAATGTGCTTGTATGGTTTGGCTCTGCTCTTCCCACCCCTTTTGAGTTTCTGCCCTCCATTCTGAGAATAGCGTGCTCCAGTTAGTGACTGATCCTTCAACCTGAGTCCCAGAATGTGAAGACACAGGGGGCTGGCTAAATTAAGCTGTTTTCAACATAGTCTGGCAGAACCACAGCTGAACTGCAACCCTTGTGTAATGTGAGCAAAGAAATAAATGTTTGTTCTTATAAGGCACTGAGCTTTTGGGATCTAAATACTATGGAAATCTTCACCTAATTAATAAATATTGAAAAACTCTTGGTACAGAGCAAATACGATGAAATTGTATCTAGGTCATGTAGAGGAGTTAGAGGTTCTCAGATCTGGAAGAAACCTAAAAGCCCAATCATATGATACTTGAATTCCTTCTACAGCATTCCTGCCAAATATTTGTCTGCTTTAGTTGTCCTCTTTATGCATGACATTCACTCCAATGATGGGGATCTTAGTATCTTTGGAGAGTGTCCACACCAACTTTGGCAGTCTGAATGCTGAAAGATGCTTCCGCATATAAACTGGAATTCCTTCTCTTTTAGCAGATAACTCATAGCGCTAGTTCGATATTGCAAGGTGATGTGGAAAGTTTAGTGATTTCTCTACAGGAGAAATCTTCAAGAATTTAAAGACAGTCTATATGACCCATATTTAATCTTTTCTTCGTGCCAAACTCCTCAAAATTCTGAGGAGGAAACATGTAAGCCTAGAAATTTTTAACCTAATAAAAGTGTTATTAGGTCAAGAGTAAGAATAAAATAAAGATATCTTTCAGACAGGAGCCCTTCGCGTGACATGATTTTGAGGCTTGTCACCATCTGAGCATCTCCACCTTATATGTATCGACATAAATAGCCTTTTTTTTTAAAAGTTGAAGTATAGTAGATGTACGGTGTTATGTTAATTTCTGGTGTATGACATAGTGATTCTGTTCTATATATTTATTTTCCTTTTCCCATTATTTTTGAGTATAGGCCACTGCAAGGTATTGAATATAGTTCCTTGTGCTATGGAGTAGGACCTTGTTGTTTATTTTATATATAGTGGTGTGTACCTGCAAATCCTGAACTCCCAGTTTATACCTCCCCATCCCCTTGCAGCCTTGGTAACCGTAAGTTTGTTTTCTATGTCTTATGTCCGTGAGTCTGTTTCTGTTTTGTAAAAAAGTTCATTTGCGTCATTTTTTAGTATTCCACATATAAGTAATATCATATGGTATTTTTTTCTTTTTCTTTCTGGCTTACTTCACTTAGTATGACATTGTCTAGGTCCATCCATATTGCTGCAGATGGCATTATTTTATGCGTTTTTATGGCTGAGTAGTGTTCCACTCTGTGTATGTGTTTGTACGTGTGTGTTTGTGTGTGTGTGTATAACAACATATTGAATATAGTTCCCTGTGCTATACAAAAGAAACTTTAAAAAACTATTTCTATATATAGTGGCTAACATTTGTAAATACCAAATATATATACACACACCCCACAACTTCTTTATCCAGTCATATGTTGATGGACATTTAGGTTGCTTCCACATCTTGTCTATTATAAATAATGCTGCTGTGAACCCTGGGGTACATGTATCTTTTCAAATTAGAGTTTCTTCTGGATATAGCCCCAGGAATGAAACTGCTAGATCATATGGCAAGTCTGTTTTTAGTTTTTTGAGGACTCGCCATACTGTTTTCCAAAATGGCTGCACCGGACTACATTCTTACCAACAAATGTGGGAGGGTTCCCTTTTCTCCACACCTTCTCCACTGTTTATTGTTTGTGGACTTTTTTTTTTTTAAATTGAAGTATAGTCAGTTTATAATCTTGTGTCAATTTCTGGTGTACAGAATAGTGTTTCAGTCATACATATACATAGTCATACCTATTCCTTTTCATGTCTTTTTAATTATAAGTTACTCCAGGATACTGAATATAGTTCCCTGTGCTATACAATATAAATTTGTTGTTTATCTATTTTATATATAATAGTTAGTGTATGCAAATCTTGAACTCCCAATTTATCTTTCCCCACCTCTTTTCCCCTTTGGTAATCATAAGTTTGTTTTCTATGTCTTTCAGTCTGTATCTGTTTTTAAGATTCCACATATAAGCAATATCATGGGGTATTTTTCTTTCTTTGTCTGGTTTCCTTCACTAACAGTGACAACCTCCAGGTCCATCCATGTTGCTGCAAGTGTCATTTTTTTATGGCTGAGTAATATTTCATTGTATATATGTTGCGTGTGTGTGTGTCTGTGTCTGTGTGTGTGTGTGTGTGTGTATGTCTGTATATATATATGAAAACTTGTTTAACCAGTCATCTGTTGATAGACATTTAAGTTGTTTCCATGTCTTAGCTATTGTTATGCTGTGAACATTGGGGTGCATGTATCTTTTCAGGTTAGAGTTCCCTCCAGATATATGCCCAGGAGTGGGATTGCTGGATCATGCAGTAAGTCTGTTTTTAGTTTTTTAAGGAATCTCCATACTGTTTTCCATAATGGCTGCACCAGATTACATTGCCACTAACAATGTATGAGGGTTCCCTTTTTTCCCACAGCCTCTCCAGCATTTATTGTTTGTAGACTTTTGAGTGATGGCCATTTTGACTGGTGTGAGGTGATACCTAATTGTAGTTTTGATGTGCATTTCTCTGGTAATTAGTGATAATGAGCATTTTTTCATGTGCCTATTGACCATCTGTATGTCTTCTTTGGAGAAATGTCTGTTTAGGTCTTTTGCCCACTTTTGGATTAGGTTTTTTTTTTGTTGTTATTGAGTTGTAAGAGCTGTTTGTATATTCTAGAAATTAAGCCCTTGTCAGTTGCATTGTTTGCAAATACTTTCTCCCATTCCATATATTGTCTTTTCATTTTGTTTATTGTTTCCTTTGCTGTGCAAAATCTTCTAGGTTTAGTTGGTCCCATTTGTTTATTTTTGCTTTATTTCTGTTACCTTGGTAGACTTCCCCAGGAGAACTTCACTGCAATTTATAACAGCGAATGTTTTGCCTATGTTCTCTTCTAGGTTTATGGTGTCTTGTCTTATGATTAAGTCTTTAAGACATTTTGAGTTTATTTTTGTGTATACTGTGAGAGTATTCTAACTTCATTGGTTTACATGCTGCTGTCCAGCTTTCCCAACACCACTTGTTGAAGAGACTGTCTTTTCTTCATTGTATATTCTTGTCTCCTTTGTTGAAGATTAGTTGACCGTACGTGTGTGGGTTTATTTCTGGGCTCTCTATTCTGTTCCACTGATCCATGTGCCTGCTTTTGTGACAATACCATGTTGTTTTGATTACTATTACTGTAGCTCTGTAGTACTGTCTGAAGTGGGAGAGTTGCTCCTCCAGCTTTTTCTTTTTCTTCAGTATTCAGTATGGGATATCTTTTCATTTATTTAAGCCATTGTTAATTTCCTTAATTAATGTTTTATAGTTCTCCATGTATGTCTTTCACCTTCTTGGTCAGATTTATTCCTAAGTATTTTATTTTTTGATGCAATTTTTAAAAGAATTGCTTTTTTACTTTCTTTTTCTGATATTTCATTGTTGGTGTGAAGAAATGCAGCACATTTCTGTGTGTTAATCTTGTATTCTGCTACCTTGCTGAATTCATTCATCCCCTCTAGTAGTTTTTGTGTGGTGAATGGCTTTATTTCAAGTACAGAGGGATACTCAACTCTGACATAGGTCCAAGAAACTAGAAGCTGAAGCTAAGTTTTAAAATATGCTAAAGGCAATGGGAGACATAGCTATCAACCTACGAACGGGAAGAGCTAAAATGCAAACCCTCGGAGGAGTAGAGTTAATGAGATTGCCCAGCATGTAGCATAGGTATATAAAAGGCTAGAAAACATGAGCAAGAGATTAAGAAACACAGAGGTTAGAAATGAAAGGATAATATACATCTAATAGGAGTTCTAAGAAGGGAAGATGGAGAGACTAAGGGTCAGGTAATATTCAGAGATAAATAATAGCTGAGATTTTATCAGAGTAAACTTTCTGAACATCTGTTTAAAGAAGTACTTGAGCAAGACCAAGAAAAATATATTCACTTTGTAGTAAAACAAACAGTATTGCAAGAAGTAAAAAGACTGTTAAATGTAACCAGAGACCAAAGAAGTTGCCTAAAAGAAAAATTATAAAAAGAAGTCAATAGAATAAGACCCTTAAAAAGAGCTAAGGGGAAAAAATCAGAAATCCCATCAACCTCGAATTCTGAATTCTTATTCAAGAGTGAGTATTAACCATTTATACATTTCATGAAAGAACTTCTGAAAGACTGTTTTTCAGAAAGAAAGGACTCAGAAGTAAGGTAAAGCTGTAAGAAGGAACAGAATGCCAAGGAATTAATAAACATGTAGATTTTTAAAAATCACAAAAGATGGGAGATAGGTATCGTAGTTAATGCATTTAGGGTCCTGCATTTTTGAAGGACAAGAGATATTGATTAGCTTTAGACTTTATGTCAAATATACATGTTAAAGTTTGAAGGCACTTAATAAAAGAATAGTAATAGAAAGCCTAACATCCAGACCAGTGGAGAATTTGCAGAAATGCAAATACAAATCAATACATTTTGGTGAAATGCTGAGAAGAATGCATACCAACTCTAGGTTATTGGTTATTACCTAGAAGGGAGGGAATGTGATATAGTTGGGGGAGGAAATTCATCAACCATATTTGCAAATTTTATTTACTTAAAATATCTGAAGAAAATTAGGCAAAATGTTAATATATTGAATCTGGACAGCAGGAATATCGGTGTCTGTTATATTAATTTTTTTTTTTACTTTTTGTATGCTTCTACTTTTCACAGTTAAAAATTCTAATAAGAGTAAATTCAAATGACTACAAGCTTATGGAATGATGCTAAAATTTCCTAGTAGTCAGAGAAATACAAATTCAAATAATAATTTGAGATATTAAATTTAGACCGTCAGATAGGCAAAACTTTAAAAGCGCTCTAGTAAAAATTGGTGAAAGAGAAATATGGAAAAAGAGCCTTTTTTTCTGGTTGGAAGCATAACTTTATTGGAAATTAAAATAAACATACATAAATTCCTTTACCTGGCAATTTTAATTCTGGCCATCTAACATCAAAATAAAGGATATTTATTACAGTAATATTAGTATGAGCAAAATATATTTTGTTAATGCAAATGTCATTTTCTACTGAAGTAGGAAGGTTGTATACATATCTGCCTGGCCAAGTGCTGTCTAGGATGCTCTGTGCTAATAATCAGGAACTCTTCTTATTGTATAATCACTTCAGCTGTCCTTCTGGCTGTGGCACTGGAAATAAAAGGTTAGTTAGTGTTATGCTGAGAGCTTTCTCTTAATTATTTCATTTCCACCTAAATGTGGTTTACATTCACTTAGTGGAAGTCTATGTCATTTATACAGGAATCTTAGCAATATTGGTGGCCAACCTCTCAGTGTAGACCAGAAATCCATCTGAAATCATAATTAACCCTAATTGCTCTTAATGCTGGCTTCTCTCTTTTTACCATAGAGACTTGGCTTTCAAATAAAAAAATTCTCTGCATAAAGTTCTGAAGCTCAAATAATATTTTCAGAAGTGGGTGCCTTGTTCTGTGTAAATTTTACTTTCCAGAGAGGTCTTCTTTCCTGAGCTTCCTTTATAGGGAAAGAGTACTTACTTATATTGAAACATTTTATGATCTAATAAATACTTGAAATTAGAACCATTAGGAAGGGATTTTTTTAAAGGCAAAAATTGCAGGGTTTAATTTTGTGATAGAACTTTTTAAAAAAAAATAAGAGATTGATATTTACTCAAACCCTGAACAAACCATAAAAGAACTATTTTTATTTTCTTTGAAGTGTTGAGTTATTCCCTTCAGATGTGGAGATGGATGTCTACATTATCAAATGTATAACTTGGGGCCAGAGGGCTGTTTATTTTTTTGGAATCATCCATTACAGGTGGAATACTCATGCTTAGCATATAAACATTTAGACCTTGGTGTCCATGTAGACAGTCTGATTGAGGTGAGATGACCCATGTGAGGTCATAAACAAGGTAAGGTCCAGCATGGATTTTTTTTCCTAGATTTTTCATTCTACATGCCTTCCCTTAGATCCATGATCCTTGTAATGTTGTCTTAAAGTAACCTGAATGTTGATCTTAGGTAACATGTACATTTTTAAATGACATTTGATTCTACTGTTATGAATTAGAAAGTTACTTCTGACATTTAATAAAACCTAAGCATTTTGAGTTACACCAAACACAGCACTATATATTTTACTGGAATTTTTTTCTCACAGTACAGGATAGCCAGCAGGTCTACCATCCTACTATAGTCCACAAGCTAATGATGAGAATTCTTGAGCCCGGCCAAGAGGCACCTATTATGGCATTTAAATTTGAAAGTTAGTTTTAGTTTCATAAGCTTATTGATTAATGTCCCGTAGTAATTTCTGAGATTTTCTAGTGATCTGAGATATTTTAAAAATCATATTAGGTATGTCAGGCAAAAGATGAAAGGCATTATGATTATAAATAGGCTGTCTCACCTATTCTTATTCATTCTGTGATGCCCAGCATGAATCCATACAAAGGGGAGATAATTTTACTCCCAAGGGTTCTCTTCATATATATTATTTACTGGTTGGTCCCCTGTAGCAACACAGCTAGGTCACCCACATCAGCTCATCAAGCCCTAAGGGACCTTAGTCAACCTCAGAGAAAGTAAATAGGATAGATGTGTCTAGGCAACATCAAAACAAGTTGATTACAAAGCAAAAACTTCAGGCAACTGAGCAGGTCTTTCTGAAACCCAGTGCTTTGCTGAATCCGTTTCTGTCCCTTTCCGTCTCTCCACCTCATTTAGCTAGTAGGTATGGCCATTAGAAAGAATGCTCAAATTTCAAATCCAACAAAGCCTATCTCTTTTAATTAGAGGTTACTGATAGCTGCATATTTCCATCCTGGAAGATCTCAAAGCACTTGAAAATTTTCAGCATGCTCAAGTATAAACTCTTACTAGGATCATTTCACCTTCCACTACGTGTGTCTACATTAGAGGTGGAATGTGGCTGCTGTTTAACCCCGAGAGGCTTCCTAGCACTTGAAGACAGGGAATGAAGAATTCTGTATCCTATTTTCTATTTCCTCTGTGGTTTCAAGAGACAAAGTTGAAACATATCGCTGCCAGACTGAAATCTGCCAAGCCTTCTGAGCTAGTATCACCAGTATCATCAGCAGGAGCTGAATAAATGCAGATGATCAAGGTCTTGTACTCAGGGCCTTATTGCATACATTGGCAGGGGATGGAGAAGAGGGGATTCTAGCTACTACATTTCCCATCACTGAGAAAGTCTGAGGGTCCAGAAGCAATTCCGAGGTAGATTCCATGTATAGTACTTAGAAGGGGCTCACTGATGAAAGGTTGTGGGAAGATCTCAGGGCTGTGATTGTGAAGACTTGGGAATCCTTCATCATGTCTGAAGACAAAGCATTGTAGGTAAACTCCAGGAAATTGAGTCTCTCTCATCTAGATGGAGAAAACACAATTAAATGGGACCTCTGGGGCCTAGAATTTTCCCTTAAATTTCACTTTTTGTTTTTGGTCCGTTTTCTTTTTGTCTTTTTTTCAACCCCCTCTTATTTGAAGAGTGATCCATTATTCTAGTCAAAAATTTGAAGATAATAAAAATAAATAACTCCATATACCGTGAGCCATAGTTGATTGTTATCAATATTTGGATAAATTTCCTTGTAGGGTTTTACATACTTATGAAGAAAAGAAGGAAGAAGTTCTTAGTATTTGCGGTCTACCCAGGCACAGAGAAGTAGAATGTGATTAGGACTGTGTGGGTCATTATCATCGTCCAAATATCTTTAGTGGAAGAGGTGTTTAGGACCAGGAATATATTATTGATGACAATACTCTACAATGAATTATCTGGAGAATTTTCTCAGTTCTTCAGTCCCCTACAATAAGCATGCCTTATGATTTTGTAAGCATCTGTATATCAGGGCTTGGTTGCGATAAAAACAAGGCAAGAATATTTTGAAACTCTAAAATGATGGGGAAATTATTATTTTATTTAGTATAAATAAACATCTGTATAATGACACAATCTTCTGACACATCTTATTGATTGATTGATGCTTTTGGAAGGGAGGCTGGCAGGGAATGGATGGTTTTGTGAAATGGTACCAGTTTAGAGGGCCTCCAATTGAAAAATAAACCGTCTCTGTCTCTTACATTTAGTGTTCAGACTTTGTGTGTCCTTTTTGGTTCTGTTCATCTATCCAAAAGGAATACTTGGTAGATATTTTCATTTTCACCATTTTATCCCCAGTGGGTTTGGGCTGTAACAATCATAATTAATTAGGAAGAGAACAGAGGTAATGTTCTGAGGACAGCTCAAGCTGATTATAAAACCCCACAGATGCCCTGAAGGGGTCCTGTTTTATCAGATGCATATTATGCTAAACTGAATCAAGACGTCCACTCATCATTTCAGGTGCTGGTAAATGTGTAAAATAGTGTGGAATTTTATGGCCATAAAAGGTCAAGTTTCAAGAGTTTTATTTTTAAAGGAAGTTTCATGGAATCTGAAATGTGAAGTCCAATCA